TCAAATGGAAAAATCACATTGAAATGTTGTGTAGAAAACTATCCAGCCAACTTTCTCTACTTCGTAGGCTGAGGAAAGTTCTGAGCACCCAAACACTAATAACCTCCTATCATTCACTATTCAACACTCACCTAACATATGGTGTACTCCTATGGGGTAGGTCTTCCTATGCTCTTGGAGCATTCCGTATGCAAAAAAAGCTCTCAGGATTATAGCAGGTGTCCCACATAATGAACATTGCCAACCACTTCTCGTGTCAGTGCGTAATTCGCTGGATATCCAACTCTACAATGTTTTGCCTTCTGATCTAGTATTGTTGTACATGAATGTATTCAAAAGGAGGGTGAAAAAATATCTTAGAAAAAAACTGTTTCTATAATTTGAAAGATTATATGAACTGTACATATACGGAATGATTTTAATATTTTCATGTTTTAGATGTTGTGCAACTTTGTACATTGTTTCCTGACTTGTCATAAATGTAATTTACATATAACATGATCAAATAAATCTATCTATCTATCTATCCATACTCTAGTGATCTTCAATAATTTTCTCAGGCGATCCCTTTGAGAAAGTTATTCGGTATATTTTACAGTATTCTTTATAAATCTCATTAACCCAAACCAATCATTTTGGTACCACCAGAACCAATAAAAGGAGTTGATGATCTATGGCTGGCACACTCATCAGCTGTTTCGTTGTCTTTTATTCCTGGCTGTCTTGGAATTCAGTAAAAGATCAATCTATTTCTTCCTGTTGAATTAAAATAGCAAACGTATTGCTGTATTAAGTACATTTTCGCTTGGAGGATCAGTGTAGGATGTAGTTTTCATTCTTCCGTTTTTCCAGATCAAGCAAGTTTCAGCACCCTGCTTAGTTTGTGTCAAATCTACCACTTTCTTTACGCCATGCAGCAGGGGGGTTGGGAAGCTTTAGGAACCCCCTGCCGGGTAACGTGTCACTCCTGACATGTATGTATGTATCGGTGCTGAAAGGATGTATGGCTCTGAACCCACTCAGCGCAACTAACGAACCCAAACGACCACAAGTGTCCTCTCTGTAATTTCGAATCAAAAACAAAAAATGTTTAGTTCTAAAACTCTTGAACAAACCTTGGAGGCTAGCTGGTGCAGCCAGGAAGCGACCTATGGCCTCCTCAAGAACAGGATATGTTATGAATCTGGCTTGCACTAAGCTCTTGGCCAGCATAGGCAGAATCTTCATCAGGAGAAGATACAAACTTTTCCAAACAAGATGCGAAAAAATTCTGCATGACTGAATCTAATGTTTCTTCAGGTGTAGCTGACGTATAGATGCCCTCATAGGAGAAAGTTGTAATCTTGCACCTTGAACATCGGATAACCTCAATATCGACTAATCAACTGAAATCTCTTTAGTATGCAATTATGGTTGCCGTCTCCTGGCTGGTGGATGCAATTGGTGCCCTGCAGCTATGGATGGTCGTCTTCTCGAAATGTGTCACAGGAGACCTACGTCCCAAGCCACACATTTATGTTGCTTACCTAACGAAGGTGGTCGGGGACTTATCGCCAATCAGGTCTAGATTTAGAAAAATGAAGCATAATCCGTCTTCCATTTTGTGTCTGAAAGTTAGTTCTTTGCATGATCTAGACACCTCTGTATAGATGTTTTGGTTGGTTTCCGGATTTTGCCTTGGTCTTCTTGGTTATAATCTCCAAACGTTTCAACTGCAACTGCGGCAGTCATCTTCAGTGCTATTGAACGCATTGGGAATTTTAACGTTGTTATGTTGGATATACAAAATTACCAAAAATGACGTCATTTTCTTCTTAACGTGAATATCCTATAGCAAAGAATTGTTTATTTTTTGATACATTTATCATCGAAATGCGATTTCGTATACAGATTGCTTTTTTAAGGATATGATTTCAGTATAGTTCCAGTTTTCCATGAAATTATTTTCGCACTTTTCGATCGTTTTTGTGTATTTTTGACATTAATTTCGTTAGATTGGCAACACTGTACATCACTTTCCTACACGTATTGCCTGAGTCATTTGTTTTAATTGAATTCTATTATATGCGCATAATTTTGAATTCTACTATTGGTAATGGAAGTTATAAATTGAGCAGCTTTATAAGAATCTTAATGTAATTTCTAGACTCGATTTCACTCTGTCGGCAATAAAATGTTTTAACATCACAGCTGTAGATGTTTGAATATTCATTTTTTATTTTTTTGTATTTGATTTATGCTGAAGACCGGGATATTGAAAAATTTTGTATCAGGGGTGTCGGATAGATTTTTTCCTGGGGTTGAGCCGGTATTGACAAATGATTGGATCATAAAATGTGAGCTTCATACATATGAAAGAGGTGTTCATCTTCGCTATGGAAAAATAAAAACACTTACTAAAAAGTTTGCAGTCGGATTTTCACTGTAAAGTGAGTATATACAATACCGCGACACACGCCACATGTCATTTTTGAACCTATAATTGGATATGAATATTAAGATCATGCTGAAAAAATATCCAGTTTCATAAATAAATCATTTCTTTTTTATGAGTTTCATCGTTATCGACAAGTCAACATACTCCAAGAAATTTACAATTTTTCGGATTTCCTCAAAAATAGTTATTATTTCACTGTAGTGAGTTTCCAAAACTATCATAGTTCTCTGTCATTTGTCAGCCTCAACCAATGAGCTACTTGAGAAATTAGCGGCCTACAGCACTTAGCAGCTAACGCTGAATTTATTTCCACTATTTGAATTTCTTGTTTAACCGCTTGATTCACTTTCTGAACTGCCCTCTTGGGTCGGGAAGACGTGCTTATTTAATGTAACGGTTCTTTCTAGAAATCTGTAGTCGGTTCGGTTCTAGATTTTTAACGGCGATTCCCGACTGCATTCTTTCGCAGTGATGTCATGTTTTTGTTACATGATTCGGCCGGCGTACTGGTCAGGGGCGGCTTCAGATTCGTTGCAGATTAAAGCTCTGTTGAGAAAAGTTACATCTCAGTCAACAGTTTGCAGTTCATACTTAGTCGAAAATTTAAAAGCGACCAAGTGTTCAGTGGCGTGCGAGTTGTGAATCATGTAGCAATATATTGTGAGAAAATTTCCATTGTACATATTTTATATTTCATTTAGATTTCTTAATATTGAAATGAAACTATGTATCATTTATTGGAGTACTTAATAGAAAGCAACAATATGTTATCCTGGAAGTGAAAACTTTCATGGTCAATATCTTATTATTTGTATATCTCGTTGAAGACGTTCCGTCTGTAACTGCGGCAAACATTCTGATAGACTTCGCGGCAGTGGTAGAAATTATATTTGATGCGATGTGATTTGCCACGGTTGATGCCTCAGCCAGAATCTGCACCCCGTTGACTTTCAAATAATTCCCAGCGTGCTGCTTGGCACTTCAACGAGACTGAAATCTAACCTCTTGGGGTTTGAAGGCAGCCTGTGGTGCTTCTACACCTCGTTGCCTGTTTTCTTTGTTTTTCTGGCTGTACTGTGATTTACATTGTGATCTCCTATGTCTGACTGGTGACTGATGTGTTTGTGTCGCGGACTAAGTATTTGTATGTAGTACTGAATTGTGTATATGTGAGGATGTGTTACGTATGTATTATTATATTTAATGGAGACTTTCGGAAGTAGTTTCTGGTTTTGCGTCGTTGGCCTCCTGTGCTTGTCCCCCTCACAGAATCTGGGGTCGTCACTCAGGTTGAGGTGTGTCCGAATTTGCTCGAAGATATTTTCGGTGTAGTTTCTCATGAGGACATCCACGTACCGAGTGCTAAGATCCAGCAACTGATAGATGTATCAGTTAGGTATGTATCTAAGAGCGCTCACGGCCATCCGCAGGCAAACGTTCATGAACCTTTGAATCTGGGTTATGTACCTTTCTGCGCACTGGCCCTAAGCAGTGGAGGTATATGAAATTATGAGAAGTGAGATTGCCTTGATTAGAAGTAGTTCCACTTGGAGATTCATGTTACTTCTACATTCAATAATGGAGTAGAGGTTAGGTCGAACGGTTTTCGCCAGCCTTAGCCTCTTTTGGATATGGAACCTGAACGTTAGTTTCCTATCGAGGATGACTCCCAGGTGTCTTGCTTCGTTGGGCCACGGAATTTCTTGTCCGTCAAAGATGAAGTATTTTCCGGGTGTACCTTCCCCCAGGTGAACGGAATCGCCTGACTCTTGTCGGGGTTGATGCTGATCTTCCAGAGATTGACTAACTCCCCTATTCTTCCGCTTTTTGTTGCAGGTATCCTGTAACTAACACGTGGCTGGTGGATCTTTCTGGCAGTGCTGGCAAGATGTGTCGTTCTGGTTGCACCATCCTCCGGGTGAATAGTATCACCTGAACCTTGTCGGCGTTAACGCTAATATTCCAGAGATTGGCCAACTCTACTCCTCCGCTTGTTGTTGCAGGTATCCTGTAACTAACGCGTGGCTGGTGGATCTTGCCAGCAGTGCCGAACCATCTGCGTTGTTGAAATGAGTAGTTCTCTAGCCTTGGTACGTCTGCTGTGTACACCGAGAATAGCTCGGAGAAGAGTTTGGGGATAGTACTGCGCATTGAGGGAACTCCTTCCAGAATTTGCCTGGGGAAGAGTTCATGTCTTACTCTACAATTGCACAACAGGAAGTGGGGCGGAGCTACCTGTTTTCACGTTTGTGATTGGCTCCTCAAGAGGGTATCTTCCATAATTGGGATAATTCATGCAATTTGATGTGCTGGTATGCATGTTTCATTGATTGTTATACTCTTTTCCTTATGATTGAAGTTGTTTTTGCGTTTGTGTATATCAATGACCTCCCTGCGAATGTATAACCAGTAATATTTTTTCCAGACAGTATCTATCAGTTAATATTTCGCCAAGGGCTTCATGAATATTCGTTCTGCAGTTCATATCAAAAATAATAGGATAAATCTCTTGTTATTGTATTATCAATTATTTTTTGGATTAACTTTTTGATTTTTGTTACAGGTGGAGATGGAACCTTTCATTTCAAATTATTGGTACCTAGTGTTGCCGCCGGTGCCATCATTGGCAAAGGCGGCGAAACAATTGCTCAGCTACAGAAAGAGACTGGGGCACGCGTCAAAATGTCCAAATCACACGATTTTTATCCAGGTGAGTTCATTGACCTGTATACTTTGATATTTAACTACATAATATTAGGTAATAAGCTTAGGTAATGAGCTTGTCTTATGAACAGCCTATCCGATATTTCACGCCGAACATTTTCTAACACAGTAACGTCAATATCTACAAATATTTATTATTCTCTGCCGTGTATCTAATATTGAAGCAGGTTTAGTTTCGTACACCTTTTGCTTCAAATAGCCCTATAAAAAAACCAAAGGTGTCAAATCTGGCGAGCGGGCTGGCCATTCTGTAGGACCTCTTCGGACAATTCTTGTCATTATTTGTCTGGAGTAATGTGGTGGTGCTCCATCTTGTTGGAATACAATATCCATATCGAATCCAATAGGATTCGCTTCGACGATTTCAGTGATGAGAAGGTCAACAGTAGTTTCCAGCATATTCAAATACAATTCCCCTGTTGAATTTTGATCAATAAATAGATGTCCTACAATATGGTTTCCCAATATTACTGCCCAAACGTAAATTTTTTCTGGATATTGGGTATGTGTTTCCTAGATGAATAAATCGTGGATGGTTTTCAAAGTGGTATGTATGTCATATTTTTTTTTGAATGAATGACGTGACATATCGCCCTGAATGTCTTGAGGTATATTATTGAATATTCTTGTACTTAAATAATAAAAACTCTTATGTCCAGTTGATTTCAATGATCGGAGACATTGGGATTGATTGTGATTGTGTGTATCATACTTGTGCGTGAGTTTTATTAGGTCTTTCGTATTTTGGGTTTGCCCGATGTTGCTGTTTTTGGAATAAAGTTGTGTAATGTCGAAAATGCCACTTTCTTCATAATCATGAATTGTATTTCCACAATACTGGACGTTTTCTTCGTATTGCTTCTCGCAAGCAGCGCATAACCTCAAAATAATACTCCTTATTGACCATATAACAAAATGATAAATAATGTTGATGGACAAGTATTGCAGATATGTTTTCAATAAAAAACGTTCACCTCTCATAAAATGTATCATTCAACTCTCATACTAGGAATCGCACAGTCAAAGGTGATTCCTCGTTAATCCATGCCTCGCGCAAGTTTCGACTTCTGAGGGTTTTCCGTTCGTAGGGGAGCGACAGCTGGTTAACGGAAAAACATATTTTTTTTTTCACTCTAACTGCCACACAATTTCAGATCAACTCCCAAGGGAGTTGCTGGTAATTGAATAAATATGAAGTATCTTATCGTTAAAATACAATGAGAAGAATAGTTTCAACCCATTAATATTCATAGCTGGACGTGGGGTCGAAATAAAAATCGCCGTTATTTCTTCCACGTTCGAAATTCACGAAACAGTGAAAACGGTAATCGACATTTTATCGTAATTATATGCATCAGTTTAATTACGAAACTCTACACGAACATTTTTTTCCGACCATTAGCCACCGAGGTTTCGATAGCATTATGCAATTCGTTCGTCAAAATTACGTATTTAGAATAATCGATACGAACCCGCTTGGAATATATAACTAATAAATTCCGCATGAATTATGATATCAACCAAGCAGATAAAGAAGTTTGTTGATTACATATGTGATGGAGGAAAAACGGATAAAATATCGGTTTGAAAAAAATAATCTCTATTGGAGCTTGCATTCCAAATCGTCCGTTCCACGGTTGTATTTCCCCCGACAACAGGGAGGCCGTGGACTTTTGAGTTTGGAGTGTCTACATGACATAATGGTACTGGATATGGCCCGTGAAGTCGTCAGGAGTTCGGATTCCCTTCTCTGCATGGTCCGTGACCATGAGAGAGCAGGAATTGGAGCATTTCTCTATAGGGCAGCTGCCCGAGCAGCTGATGAACTCGGTTTAGTTTTCGACACTGAACGAGGTGACCACAACTCTGTCACCAAGTTGGAACCCGTTCAGCAAAAAGCTCAGATAAAAGCCGCAGAGATCACCTTACTTATGGCCCCCTACGCCAGTAACCAGGCTGGATGCCGACGGATTCGACTAGGTCGTCAGTTCTATAACAGATGTGTTGAAAATGAATGTTCATTAGTAAAGTTAAGTAATGAGTAGCTTGAAGTGATTCAAATAGAAATAGAGGACGAAGGAAACAATAAGGGGTACGGTATTGCGAAGTACCCCCCGGACGAAGTTCTTATTGCGTAATAGCGGTGAGAAAAGTGCTGGTCATAAAAGCGCCGTAAAGGAAGCTGAGATCAATAAGCAAATAGAAGAAGAAGTGCCGAATTTATGGGAACTTTTCGTTCCCCATCCTCAAGTTCATACAAGCTAATAAGCTTGATGTATTATGCAAGAGACAGACCAGTTTCGAGGTATTATCACTCATCAATGCAGGACAGATCCGACCCAAATAGCAAAGTGCCTGGGACTCGACTAATTTCAAAGCAACAAATTTTGTATTGTTTCATATAAATATGTATTTGAGCATTTTGTCGTTTTAATAAGGATTTCTTCAGAACACTAAAAAAGAACACTGTAAAAAATATCTCAAAAATGTTACACTACTTAAAGGTAATTGAGGAAATGTACTTTGAACTGATAATAATAATAAAAAATATTGTACAATATGACAATGATGTTGAATCTTCGAGCATATTTGACATTATGATTATCATTGATCTTTCATCAACATTTCTGAAACTGTGTCACTTGTCGCATTGGCGATTTTTACTGCAGTTAACTAGGAAAACATCAGAGATTCGTTTCGAAACAGCATGATGCGAATAACAGTTAAAAATAGATTTTGAAACAATCGTCGAGTTGTAGGAAGCGGATACAGATTTTCAACGTCGTTATTAGGTCGAAGGATTTTTAAAAATAATTCATTAGTATGAATTATCAATGGTTATCTGGTGAAAACCTTCCGGCACGCGAATTGTTCGAAATAAAATCAACTATAAGGATAATCATCAGTATTTATTTGAGTCGTCGGAAATTTCTCAAATTTTGAGACCAATTCATGACGTATTATTTCCGTAGTACCGATAGTTTGAAGGGTTCGTACATAGGGGAGGGTTAGGAATTAGGGCCGAGGCAGGAGAAATCCATGACCTCAATGACCTCATCCTGCTGATAGTTCTGAGACAAATTTCAAGTATCAACTTCTATGTGATAGTTCTGAGACAGTTTTTAACCTCATTTGTGAATTCCTAGAGAAACGGATTCCTAACTTTTCGTAGGTGGTCAGGAAAGATAATATATGCTAAGATAATATAGGCACTTGTACTGATTTAGGGAAAATTAGAAGAGAAAATAGAACATTAATACATAGAGTCTTGTGATAACAGCTAAAATGAATACCTATATTTCAATATTCACAATTAAACGTTTTCCATTGCATATCTGAAATAAAGACCAAGAAAATTTCTATGGCAGAGAAGTGGAGATCACAAGGACTAGGTACACACACACAGAGATTGATTACTTTCAGCTTTTTCCTCTAACCTAGTTTCAACACCTTCATTTTAAACATCTGCATGATTATAAATATATCGAATATGAAACAAATTGATTATATACATATACCACACCATCTTAAAGTTTGCGCTATTTTCCTCCAGTGACATCACAAACATGGCGGCCAAAATCTTTGACATTTCGTATCATCTTCTATAGGGTTTATTCCTTTGTCTAATCTTTCGCATACCGGAAAATTTAAATTACCAGATATCGGTGTGCTAAAGAATTTTATAAAATTGACCCGAAGTTTTAACATCTTATTTCGGACGTATATAATGGTTAATAGCTTGCAGAAGAATTTGCAAATGAAGACGCTTCATTTACTATAGTTAACAAATTATCTTTAATTTTAACGTTTATTTGTTGCGTTTTAGAACGATTATATGCAGAACCAAACAACAATGATTTGAATTGACTAGAGTTGATCAATAAGCAGTGATCAGAAGCTGAATCAATGAAGGTCGCTAATTCCTGGAAGAGGTACCCCTGATTTCAGTGTCAAATATTCAGATTGGACCATATGAATTTCTACACACTGCTAAGAATAATAGTATTCCGTCACATGTCAACATCTGTCACTGTTCTTTTTTCCACCAATAACAATCATCATAAGATTCTTCCTAATCAGTGACGTCATTTGACAGCTTTTGTTACAAATCGATAAAATTCATCTGATATACAGGGGGCATGTACGAATTGAATGGTTTATCATGGATACCATGAAGTTATTAATCATTTTATAATAGAACTGCAATTAAATGATGCGAATGTAATAATGTGGGATTTACCCAGTTTTAATGATTTCGTTGATTATGTGCGATTGTCGTGCTGCGGCAGTAGGTCATTAGGTGGAAAATTGCAGGCGATTAAGATCGTTATCTGAACACCGCGCGTTTCATCGAATCCTATGTGGTGCCAAGATCAAATTGGCGCAGGGTTGTAGTGAGCCAAAATGCCCAAAATGCATATTAGTGAAAAAATGTATAATAAGCTGCCAGTCAAGTTTAAAAACATGAAATTTATCCTAAATGAGTATTTTCACAATTGACAATTCATCTTTGCACATGTTTACTATTTTTAAACACATTTTGAGTTTGAATTTCCCTATTATAAACAGTTGAAAAAATGTATTACATTATTACAAAAACCTTTTACATAGTTCAGATACAGTAGAATAATATATAACCAGTAGGCTCTCTCACCACGTAATCCGCCCGAGTTGCCGGGGACCTTCAACCGCTCTTGGGATGAGATCCTCAACCACCGCGTTTAGTGCTGTAGTATCGAAGGATTCGACGGTCCCACGAGCATCGGATTAGTTATAATAAACGGTCGGAAATTGATATTGTGTTCAGTTTACTCGCTGTTGTTATTATTGTTTTTAGTCTTTGTAGTTGGTTATTGTTGTTTGTTTTATTATTAAATGGTTACAAAATGGGAGATGTTAAAAATACATTTTTATATGAGCGCAGGCGTAGGGTAACAGAACGAATTTGGTTCCTCACCTTGTTTCAAGATCACCGATGAAGAACTTTGTGAATTTATGAATGGAAGTAGTGGGAGTGGACTACTAGTTGATTTTTACTGTGGTTCAGAAACTTAAAATTATTATTCTAAGAATTATTTGGATAATATAACAACTTGTGGAAAATGGAATGAATGCAAATAGTAAAGATAACACATATAATTCATCGGATATTTCAAACAAACATTTCCAATTATCTTGTAGTTTGACAGTTGAATTCATATAATATTAAATTTGAATGTGATAATTGAAACGTTCAATATAATTAAATACGAGGGTGGTCTTTAAAATTTTCACCCTAACAAAGATACAAGACATTTTCTCAGAATTTTCGTTTCGGCGTTCTTCTCTGCAAAATAATTGTTCACGAAGATGATTACCTTTTCATTTGACGAAAATCTCTGTCCTCCGAGCGCAATTTTCAGATAAGGGAACAAAAAGTGTTAAATTCTTGACCTTTATGTTGATGTTTCAGATTGTATTAGTTCTTAAGCCTGCTTTGTCAACAAAACCTAAACTTTTTTGACAATAAAGCATTTCTGACTCTGACAATTCAAGTTGAGGTCGGGAACTTTTCAGACTCCCCTCGTAGAAAAATATTATTTCATACTTTTCAATTTAACAAGTTACCTTTTCCCTCTCATCTCCATCTCATATGTCATTCCATCTCTATCCTGTGTATCACCAGGATAAACTACGTTGATTACAGAACTTTTCTTCCAACTACGTTTTTTCATTTCTTAACATACTTCTTCAATAGGCCAAGATCTCAGAACCCCTAAACATTATAAAATATAAAGAAGAACTAGTAACACAAATGCGGTGTACATCTTTGGTTATTACGAGGGTCGCCTTTTATATTTCGGGATTAGAGAACAAAAACAAATATTGATCATCGAAAGTCACTTTATTGTTTTTCAAAATATTCCCCATGAAGATCTATACACTTTTGCATGCGTTTGAACCAATTGTCGAAGAACTTTTGCCACTCTGATTGAGGTATCTCCAAAACATGTATTTTGAATGCAGAAACTTCTTCTTCAGGTGTCGAAAAACGTTGACTTCTCAGTTTGTTTTTTACGTGTGGAATTAAAAATAAGTCGTTCGGTTCCAAGTCTGGACTATACAGCGGATGACTCGTCAACTCGATGTTTTGGGTGCTCAAAAATGCAAAAAAGAGTAATCCGTCTTCGACGGTTGGTTTTCCTGATTTCTTGGAAGAACAGTGGCAAACACGGTTGTGTACCACTCAGAATTGACTGTTCTGCGGTGTTCTAGTAGTACGGTTGCGACATGTCCAGTTTTTTCTAAAAAACAGACGACCATTTGTTTGGAAGTGCTTCATGCGCGAATAACTTTTGTTGGATTTGGCTTTTCTTGAAACACCCATACAGTCGACAGCTGTTTACTTTCGGGCTCATACGCGTAAATCCACGATTCATCACTTGTCACGATATAATAGACGTGTTTCGACGCACCGCGATCGTATATTTGTTGATTATTTCCTTCGACCAATCGACAAATTATATGGGATCCAACGCGAACAAACTTTTTTGACAGTCAAATGTTCATGCAATATTGAATGTATGCTGGTCCCACTAATGCCTAAGGTTGTCTCAATCTCACGATAGGTCACATGACGATCTTGCAATATAAGTTAGCGCACAGCATCAATGGTTTTCGAAACAACAACTGATTTTGGACGACCTTCACGAAATTCGTCTTGGAATTCTATGACCACGATTGAATTCACCATACCATCGATAAACACTGGTCCTTGATGGAGCTTCATCGCCAAAAATTGAATTAAGTTCATCCATGCACTGTTGCTGAGTTGATCTACGTCGAAAGTTGTAAAAAATATTCGCACGAAAATGTTCACGATTCAATTCCATTTTTGGACCGAGATAAATCTTTTAAGTTACTGTAAACAACAAAAATAGCATGCGTATGTCAAAACTTTCTGAGAAGGTAAGTATAAGCTCAAAAATGTCCAACTTTACGATAGAGCTGTCAGTTGCCAGATTGCAATACTAGGGTTGCCAAATCCCGAAACATAAACGGCAACCTACCGTAATCTCGATGTGTGGCATAAAACAGTATTACGCCGCTCGCTTACGCTACATCTTTTTCGAAGGTCACTAATGCGAGCTCATTCTGTTGCTCCATATGTGTACATGTCGTAATATTGCTTATAATATCGCTATGCTTAAAACAAATGCACACTTCTGCGTATCTTCGTCTTTTTTTTATTGATATCCAGTGCGCTTGATTGAAGAGACGAAACAAACAATTTTAATCGACAAAAAGAGCTACTAACATAAATTTCCTAAGGTTACCATATGCTTCATTGAGAATCGTAGTATTGAAAATTATATTTTTCTGTCTTGTATTTTATGTTTTATTTCTTCCACGTTCAAAACAAACATTACATTATATTTTGTACCATCTCACTAACTCCTAACCTAATTGATCAAATCTTCTTCTTAATTTTAGGCATAGAACCACAGAACATAAAAGTACAAGCATCACTGCGAACTCATTCTTCATTTGTTCCAGGCACGACGGAACGAGTATGCCTAATCACGGGCAGCGTGGAAGCCATCATAAACGTCCTGAATTTCATAATCGAAAAGATCAGAGAGAAGCCCGACCTGACGAAGGCGGGCGATACCGAGAGCAAGATGCACGAGCGTGACAGGCAAGTGAAGATTCTCGTGCCGAATTCGACGGCGGGCATGATCATCGGCAAGGCGGGCAACTACATCAAGCAGATCAAGGAGTCGAGCGGGTCGTACGTGCAGATATCGCAGAAGGCGAAAGACGTCAGCCTGCAGGAGAGGTGCATCACCGTAATCGGCGATAAGGAGCAGAACAAACAGGCCTGTCTCATGATAATAAGTGAGTAAATAGTATCGACCCGACGCGGTATACGCGGTGAATCGGAATGTGATCGATTAACTCTGAAGGCAGATTTCTGACCTCAATTTATAGCCAAAGAATCAATACTTAATTACCCTGAACTTATTTCTGGCCTAGATACTAAACCGACTTTATGTTTTTCACGGGACGTAGCAAAAAATGATTTTTTTGATTCGCCTTCAAGATCGATATACTTTTGTATGCATTCAAACCACTTATCGAAATAGTTTATACTCGATACAGTTGATGTTTCAAAAACATAGTTTTGGATTGCTTCAATAACTTTTTCACTGTGAACGAATTTTTCATTGGCACAGAGGACCACAAAAGTCGTTAGCGATGTTTTTCTCCTTCAAATAACCATTTGTTTGATGTGCTCTGTGTGACAAATACTCATTTGTTTGATGTGCTCTGTGGGAGATGACGTCATTATGAAGAATCATGCAACGGTTTAGGTTTTTTGATAAGTTTGTCGAGGACTTTTCAGACGAACAAACTATTGTACTCGTATATCATTTAGCTTTGACTGTTCTTTATTGTTCTAAAAGAATGGGGGTTCGGTACTTCTCGAAATCCACAGCAGTGGGTTGTTACTTAATCATCGTTTCACACTTATTCATCTGTTTTTTCACCTGTATCAATGTTTTATACGGATTTCCTTATACCATTTCACACTTACCTTTTTTTTATAAACTGAGGCCTTCGATATTGCGAAAGAAAACTTCATGAATCGGCTTATCCTTATGTAGCCACAGGAGTGAAGTAATTTCTGTGGCTGGACGGTTTACAACTCGGTGACAGAGTTATGGTCACCTCGTTCAGCGCCGAAAACTGAATAATGTTCATCTACTAGTTGGGCAATTGCCTTGAAAATAAATGTCCCAATTCTTGTTCTTTCATGGTCGCGGACCATGTAGAGAAGTGGATCCCAATTCCCAATGATTTTACAAGCTTCATCCAGTACCATTCTGTCATCCGAACTCCAAAGTCGAAAGTCCACAGTCACCCTGTTGGGAAAGTAAAACCGTGAAATGGATGATTTTGAATGCACACCTCATGGAGATGCATAATTTTTCTGATAAAACTCCTCCCGAATCCACTTCACTATTCCGATGAAATAAGGTAAGATCGGAATGGCAGACACATTTATAGCAGCAACTTTTTCTTCCCCAACGTTTCCGATGACCAGATATGTCGTAGTTTGTGCTAATATTTGCCGTGGATAGTTTTTTACTGAATTTCTGGTGAGTGGAGTTCTTTCTCTCCGAGGTGAGGAAACATCCCTTCGGCCCCCAGATGGTGCAGGATACTTTCGTCTACGAAGTGCACTTCCTTTCCATAATCCCCTCTTCGTTCTCTTTTGAGATCGACCGTTGTATATTTGTCCATTCGAATTCTATGCATATAGTATATTTGTACTCTTCCACCACCTTATGCCTTCGATTTCTGAGTATAAAGATTTAAAGTGCGATATAGAATTGAAGGGGATTGAGAAGAACGCACCCCTTCTGAAGGTGGCTTGCTCTATTTGGACTCTAGTTTGGCCAGATATTATGGTGGAGGGAGTCCTCTGAAGCTTTATCAGTTACTCAAGATTGGTCGGGTACCGTAAGACATCTGGGTAAATGCAAGATGAGCTTATATGATGCTGCAAATGCCTTAGNTTCACGATCAACAAAAGGCTTCCTCGGACACTTGTTATGAATGACACCGACATTTTCGCTTTTAAAGTAATACACAAAATGAATATGAAATAATATTATGAAATATTTATAATATAAACATAAATATACCTGCATTGATGTACAATGAAGATTATCTTCTTCAAATTTTAAAGTTTTATTCATCTGCAGGCTATCCTTGCCCAAATCATCTATAGATAGATGCATATGCAGATGAAGATGACCTTTGTCGCTTAAACAAAAAAAATTGGAAGTACCTTTCAAATCACTTCACTACAGAATAAAAAATGATAATGTAATGTTATTAATGTAATCTAAAATGTTACCATTATTCATTTGGAAATTATTCTTGAAATCATCAATGTTTATAGCACTTACAAATGCTTTCTTTCCAGAGAAGTGATGAACATCAGGTTTTCAGAAAATTATTACGTTTCCAAATAGTAAAATTATTATACAACAGTTTTTTGTTCGATGTAATTTCATGTAAAAGTATTCTGTAACAGTCTTCAAATACAAAAACAAAATAGATCTCTCTGAACATAATACATAAATCAATATCCATAAATGAATTTGTTTTACTTGAAAAAGGGGCAAATTGAAATCCAGTTTTTTCAACTGTAAACTTTGTACAACTCTTTGAAAAAACGCAGATATATAAATTATATCCCTTTTGAATTATTACTGTTATTATATTACTGGATACTTGCCTAGTTTTCAATTGAAGTACACTGTAAAACAAAATAGAATATCTACAAAATTCCTCTAAATACTGTCCAGGTATATGATAATATTTGATTAATGAATGGACATATGCATATCTACGTATAATCCTATTGTAATGTTCATTACGGAAAACCAGGTATAGCTTTCCTTTCTTACCTAAAATATGTGAATGAATAAGTCACACACGGTGATCTTATTGACACTAATTCGGATAAAAGAAATGAAAATTAAAATGTGATAAGTATAATGCAATGTGATAAACGATTCTTTTCTTCAGTCGTAGTATTTATTCGTTTTTCATTTTCAGTTAATGAAGTGACAAGAAATTAAAGTTCAGTTTTACCAGCTCGGACTTCCATTGTCTAATATGATATAAAATGATTTGAAATTCCTAAAAGAACCAATACAAATGAGAAATTAAAATTAATAGCTAAAAAATAACAATAATATTAAGCAAGAACCCATGAAATTGGATTACAATAAAATAAAAATAAGCAAAGAAATTGAAAATTAAATTAAAGATGACACCAAGAGCCTGACAAGGAAGAGAAGTCGTCACAACCAGTACTTGCCCTTCCCTACGTCAGAGGATTGAAGAATTGAGTCCAAGTACAACATCAGAACCTGCTTCGGATTCGGGAACACTATCCGTAGCAGCATCACAAAAACCAGGCCACCAAACGCGGACTGCGATTCCAAGAATTGCATTAACCGGATACCCTGTGAGTGCGGCAAATCCTTTATCGGTGAAATTGAGAGGCCATTTTGAAAGTCCGCATTGCCGAGCAGAAGAGAAACACACAGTGAAGAGAAACCAGCAAATCGGAAATAGCAGAGCATGTTTGAACTCATCAAAATAACATCAAGTGGTCCTAAGTTGAGATCATCCACAGGGAGGAACATTGGTTCAAGAGGAAGTTCAAAGAAGCTGCATATATGATGTCCAATGACACATTCAACCAAACTAGCATAGAGATAAACGACATATGGAAATCTGTGATCAAGCGGAAAAACGGTTAACTCCCGCTCAACCGGTGAATCGGAGAGGGGGAAGAAGGGATAGATGAAAGCGTTCGAATGACCTATAAATAGTCATCTCTCGGAGACGATTGTAGATACTAACAATGAAAAGTTCGTAAAATCTTTTTTAATTTTTTAATTCCATTTCTATTTGTTCCAATTTTAATTTTTTTGTTTATTTTTATTTTATTGTAATTTTATTTCATTGCTTTATATCGGTCAGTAGCCAAGGGGTTCGACGTGGGTGCTTTGTTCACTTACTCGAATTGACTGCCGTGTTGGTCGGTGGTTCAAGCCCCAGTTTGAACGGTAGATTTTCACTTGCTATCATCCAACCCGTGTTAGCAATCACACGTTAAAAGGTAAGATCTCGTTAATCCTTATCTCGCACAAGTTTCGACTTCTGAGGGTTGTCGTTCGTAGGGGTGCGACAGCTGGTTAACGGAAAAACAGATTTTTTTTAAACAGATATTTTCAGCTATCAATTTTAATTTTATTTGTTCTTTTAGAGATTTCACCGTGAAACATTGTCAACCAATTTCAGAGAAAAATAAATAGATTTTGCAAATTCGCATTTTGCAGACTCGACCAAATACAAGAATATTTTTTCTGTATTTCATTTCCCTTGATTGTTATATGTTAATGTGTATTTTGTATCTATCAATTGGTTGTTAGTTCTCATTCGAAATTCTTTTTTTGATAACAAATAATGTCACTATTAATTTTTGTTACAGTTACAATTGAGGAATACGGGGTACGGCGATAATCAAATAGTTGAGATATGTGCTGCATTGTCAGTTTTGGCGAAATATGGAATCATTTCAGTAGGCTTAGGTAATAAAAACTTATCATAGTTGAATGAATAATGAAAAGTATGTAAAACAGCGTTTAATTTTTCTTCGCTACCATACGATGCATTTTTGTTATTGCTCTTTCATTATCTGTCGGAAATTTTAAAAATAATCATATTTGATTTAATACTGGATCTTATTGAAGATTATTTTCGCTGCATGCCGAGTCGATTTGAAGTAGGAATTCATTTGTTCATTCACTGTTACGATTTTTGTACCATTAAATCAGTTTCATCATTACACGATGGTTTTATTTATTTTCATTTCATTTTTCTTTCTAGCCCTTCTATCTCATCAATCAACATTTACTACTCTAACTTGACGAGGAATTACGTTTTTCATTCATATTAATGTATTTATTCATTGACTGATGGCCTTTTTCTGATTCTCATAATCATCTAACGAATGTACATCTTGTGGGCGGAACCATAACGGAATTCAGAAAGCTCTTCCTACATTAGGCAAGCTGTACATCACAAACTTTTTTGCTTTTCGAATCATTTAATGGCGATTGAAGAAAATGATTTTCCGGACGCCGGACAGAAATGAAAGAGCAGTTTAAACATATCAAGGGCGGATTTTTATTCAAATTTCGGGAGGGGTCATTTCTAAATTTCGGGGAAGGGATTATTTTTATATGAAAGTTTGAAATGTATCGAATGTTGATGTCGGAGAGGGGGGTACTTACCCCCCATAAATCCGCCCTTGAAACATACTTTAGTAATTGAGCGATTTTGCTTCAGGCATAGGCAGTACCCATCCAGGTGCTCTGCCTGTTTCGAATTATCTCAGCGTGATGGACCAGACGGGCGCGACAAATGCGAGTACAGGTGTTTTCGGGGCCATTGGGCAAGTTAGTTTGGGGGAATGTTTAGGTAAGTGATATTTTATAGCATGAGTCATTGAGGCAGATTCCAATATATCCGTCGAGAATACGTCTCCAAGGCCAATAAACGGTATAGCCTTGACTTGAGGTGGAATATATTTATTGTCTTGGTCTAATTTATGAATAAAGAGTAGAAGGTGAAACGTATATTCTTCTAAGATCGATGTAGGACAGGTACAAGTTGGTCATGTATCTACATTTCAGGTGCTATTATAGTGTGAAAACCAATAGAACTATATAATGATTATTTTATTTCAATAGCTAAATATATGATGAACATCACTTGCAACCTTGATAGTTTAGAACATCAAAGGAAGGCTGGCGATTGGTCTCTTATACGAGAGGTGTTCAAGTGACTTGGCGCATTTGATTCCACCAAGAGCGGTACATATCAGAAATTCGCGATGGACTGTGGCTGCACATCGTTTTGAGGTTCAACTCAATACACCTCGAATTTCACTGTTTAACAACTCTTTCATTTGGAGAACTGCGTTTATGTGGAATAAACTTCTTGAGAACGTTTTTCCAAGTGAGTTTAATCGTCAGCGATTCAAATTCAACGTGAATCGCTACTTTCGCACAGGCACAGCTCTTAGAGCGCCCAGGATTTTCCTGTAGTGCTTGTGTTTTGTCTTAAAAAAAACATGGAAATTAGAACTCAAAATAAATGTAGGTAGAAGGCTAACTATGGTACCCTTTCTTTCAGCAAAGTTTACATTTCTCAAATATGATGTTCGCCGAAAAAAAGTACATAGTGTACCAAAAAATCAGTTTTGACTTAACTATGATGTCAGACACTTGAAAGAATACTCGTCAAGCTTGCTTATGTTCAGAACCATTGGCTGAAAAAAGGTTCAGGTACAGGTACGACACATTTTTCAAGTTCTACGATGCTGATGTGAGAACTATTCAGTTGTATATCATTCAAATTCTCCTCAAACTCGGCATACTTCGTTTTGCAATTTTCTGATGTACCTAATATTCAAACCAGAACTTACAAAAGATTCATCTTCATTACATACCGCATCGTATATCCCTTTGACCACTTCGAAATCATTATCGAAAATTTCTTGATTCGTTTTAAAATTGTTACTCGCATTCATTTTAATAAAATGGAATTCATGAAAATCAATAGTTCACGATTAAATTTTCACGAAAATTACGAAACAGAAAGAAAGCATTTGTGATGATGAGATTGGAAACCCAGAAACGAAAAGATTACTTTAAGAAAGGTTACTTTAATCATCTGCATTGTAGCCCAATCACAGACTCGATAACTGAAGCTGACGTCACACTACAACAAGAATAAACATCGACCAACGATATCAAGATCTTACATCCCACTGAAGGCGTGTACTGAGTAGTAATACACTGCGAAACACGCGTTCATCTTTTTTTTGTACACAATGTATCTCTTTTCAGCGAACACCTCATATAATGTCTTTGTCATGACATACAGCATAGAAGGAAATAGTCCTCCCCTCTCAACTATTGAACAAGATGTCTAAGTCTGAGAAAACTTACGTAAAAAGGTTTCGTTTTCAGTACTTTTTGATAAGAAAGATAATAATGTTGTGTTACTTGTCGTCGAGAGGGCGTACCAACTATTTTTTTCGAAATAAGTCGATTACTCCTTTGACCAGATTCAAAAATGAGCTGACTTTCTTACACGCTTTATATTAGCTTCACCTGTATGTATGTATGTTTATATGTATGTTTGTTTGTAACTCTCAAGCTCGGGATCTGTATTGACAGAATTATCGACATTATTGCTTGATCTATTCGCGGGCAGAAGGCGCTGTACGTAACTTCCTTGATATTTCTTGATCTTTTCGCGGGCAGATGGCGCTGTACGTAACTATCGACATTATGGCTTGATCTATTCGCGAGCAGATGGCGCTGTACGTAACCTCCTTGATAGGTTGTTCAAAAGAAAATCAAAATAATAAATGGATTTTAAGAATTATAAGTGTCAGCGAAGTTTTGTACTGCATATGAAATATTTAGATATTTGAATATTTTCAATTACCCGTGATTTAGTATCAGTACAGAAAAAACTTGTCAACGAAACGACAACAAAACCTATTGTTTAAATAGTGACATCCGCTTGCTTTGAAACATTCTGTAAAACGGTTAGTATATTTATAGTTAAATTTCATGGGTACCTACAGAGGCGGAGCTCAGAAAGTCCCAAACTTGACCTGAGGTTAGAGACGTATCTTCGGCGAATGTACTTTATCTGATGTACTTTTTCGGTCGATTGATCAGTGCATACTTTGTCGTTTTCCAGGTGCGAATTCTGCCACCCCCAGGACAAATCTCGAGAGGTACGATTCTGCATTCGATCCGTTCAGGCACCAAATGTCTGCTGCGACGGCCCCCATTTCTTTGAACAACAACAGTTTCGGTTTGGGTACGGGACAACAGATGGCTGTGCTTAGTAAAAGTCCCACTCCCGCAGAACTGGGCAGCAGCAAAGACACCAAAAACGTCGAAATAGCCGAGGTTATAGTCGGTGCAATTTTAGGTGAGAATCTGTTGGTGTTAGAGCCGGACTCCCCATCAAGAAAACATGGATACTTTTTTTGTTTTATTTGTCTATGGATTTCATTCAAATGTTAAGGAAAAATTTTTAAATAACGACACCACATGTAATTTGAGTACGTTTGAAAAACGACGATAATCGAAGGATAATTTATTAGTCTAGTTATCTTAAGAACACTCATCAAAACTCAAATGTTGAATGAAATCCTTATTTTTGTTTTCAAATCAGAGTATTGTCAAAGAATTTTCCTGAAATCAGCTGATAAATAAGTCTAGCATTGCTTTCATTCTTGGCATTATCAGATCCACAACAAAAATGTAATAATTTATGTGTTGATCGGAAAATTATCGAAATTCTTAATGAAATGAGGGAGATTTGAAATTCTTAGTATTGGATAAAAATGGCAAAGTAAAAAATTACTTCAAAAATACATAACCTAATTAAGTTCATGATGGCCTCAGTCAGAAGATATTATTTACATACCCTGTATATTTTGTCTATTGGTGACATTCTATATAATATACTAATCATACTATCCCAGGTTCAAAACTAGAAGTAATCTTTTATTTTTGACATCATCAACAAACTGCAGCGATATTCCTGTTAGTACATTGTACTATTTCTAGTACTTTCCACTATCTTCTGGTACGTTAGTACTACCATTGAAAGTGAAATTTTCAGAAAAATCATGCTTTGCGTTTTCCAGAAACGTCTAACCTACCATCGACCGTGAGCCACGCTGTATATTGAAGAAGAGCAACACCGAAAACGGGAAATTATAACAATATAAGAAGAAGAATGGATTGTGACGCTACACTATAAGTAATAATAATCATAAATGACTTGATTTTTGATGTTTTGTTTTCATTGTTTGTGGAAATTTGAATGTTTGGATCAAAATCAGAGTGAATTGTTTTTTATTTTTAAATAGAGATGGAGAAATAGGTATTTTGTCAAATTTAGCGTTCAGGCGACTTTTCTTGAATTAGCAAATACATTTTTTGTGATATCTTAACAGCATTTCAAAAGCTTGCCCGTCCCAAGCTGCAAATATTGTTACTATAGGTAAAACTTATAAAAGCTCGAATGAGAATGTAAATAATGATTTTATAGAATATAGTTATAATCAGAGTACGGATAAGGTAGATTATAAGAGTGAGAAAACTCACAACAGTGACAAGGAAAATTATGACTTTGGAGAAATTACTAACAGTGACGTCATTGGGTTACAGACGTCGCAAAGCCTATAACCTAAAAAACGTAGTAATCTGGTACTTCACATCTGAATCTGACACGAAAAAGTTAATTTCTAGTACAATGAATTTTAAGCCAGGAACATTGCTGGTTCAGTGACTATAGGTGGAGTGGTGGGGGTTTTGCTGAGTGCTGCATTTTCTAATAACACATCACATACAATACCTCAAAACTGAAAAACATGATCGCCGATTGAAGTCACAAGCCTTTTTATATAGGGTGTGCAGACGTATAAGTTTTTGTCGCTAGTAGTTTTTAGGAACTTACAAAAAAAAGTGTCCTCATGGACTTACCCAAAAAGGAAGCTCTGTTACATTTGGGCAGTGATTGACTGAAAAACCTGCAAAAACCTTTATACAGACGATTTGATAAATTTTCGTTGTCTTTCAGGTCCAGGTGGGCGTTCACTTGTTGAAATCCAGCAGATAAGCGGTGCCAACATCCAAATATCAAAAAAGGGTATTTTCGCTCCCGGCACCCGTAACCGCATCGTAACCATCACGGGCAACCCACAAGCCATCACGACTGCGCATTACCTAATCGAGCAACGCATCAGCGAGGAAGAGATGAAAAGAGCCCGGAACAACGGCCTTGGCACTCTGGCGATGCAGTGATTGACCACGACGAAAAAATCGCGAACCTAACCTCAAAAAATCAAGTACATGTTGGATTGGATTCTATAATTCTTACCCAGAGGGGTTGTATTTATGGCGCAATCCTAAAAGTGGGATGAAATTTTATCAGTAACCTTCGTGGAGATGTGTTTTTCTAAATTGCTTAGAGAATGTAGGCATTTTTGTGACTTGCTGTGCATTCAGTGTCTTTATGTTAAAGCTGTAAAGGATCGGAATCTTCTTTGCTACGTTTCTAATCAGTGGAAACATTCATTTCATTTCGGATACAATGTCGTGTATATTTGAGGTTGCATACTTTTATTATTGTTGTTGTTACAGAATACTGGTGGAAACGGTAGGATCGAGAAGATTCCTTTTATCTGTGTTGTTTATTTTTGTTGAGAACTGTACCCTGTACAGTATAATATTGTTTTTTATAGTCATTTGTCTTGTGATTGTGAAATACAAATTATTGTTTTTTAAATCATAGTTTTGGGTGTTTTAGGTATAAGGGTAAATTTTATTGATTTTTTTTTGTTATTGGCTAAGAAGGACCAATCCGAGTGAATTGTATTTCGAAGGCTAACAAAAGAGATTTATTTTTGTTGGATTTTATCGAAAACTTATAAACGTATGTTTTCGGATGAGTTGTTACGGAGCGATCTGATTTTTAAGGTTAGATTTAGGAATTCTAAATCGAAATTGTGATGAAACCATTCATTGTCACTTCCGGTGTCTGTACCGATCATATATTACCCATTGTTCATTTCGCCTAGGAATTTTATATAGGTCAATTCATTTTTATCACTCGAGCTGTTGATTTTAACATTCAGTCATATTACTAATCGTAGCCTATTTAAGAGCAATTTTATTCTTGTATATTTAGTGATTATTTTTAGTCGCAGCAATCTGGAGAGGTGTATATTTTTTGGTGATTATTTTTTCAGTATGTTTACGTGATACAGCAGAAAAACTACCATGGAAAATTTTACAAAATGAAGCCGAAAATAAAGACTCGGTATCGAAGAAAGTCCATGTTAATTATTACGGTTGTAATAGAATTCAAATTGAATGGACAAGAGAAGGAGTTGTATATTCATTTCCTTTTACAAAGTGAGCCGATTTAAAAAAAATACTGGAATATCAAGTAGGGCAGTTTTTTTGACGAAAAGTAGAGAATAATAAAGGGCTACAACTAGTTCATGCCTAACTATGCATGTGATCAAAGTGGTCCCACGTTGGGCGCCATATTTTACATTGAGTACTGTTTACATTTGTCTTTCCTGAGACCCTGAGACATCACATGAAAAAATTGAAATATTCAGTTGATTGTGAATCACAATGAAATCTAAGAGAAGATAAATGAATCAACTCTTGGAAAATACTAGGACCAAATACAGTGAAAATGTGTTGATGTTCAAATTAGTAGAAAATATACAATATATAGGTTTGATGAAAGTATTCTCACATAGGTAATGAATGATAGTTTTTTAAAATTCTGATATACAGTTGAGATCACTATCACTTGGTTTGAGTTTGGTTGAGTTTATTGGTTCAAATTTTTTTCTTTTCATAAGTTGGTCGGAAGTTATCGGTCAGAATTCATGCAAGACTGATTGGTGGTTTCAGATTATTTGACAAAATAAAACAGTCAACACCATCACAAAGTCAGTGTGTTTCACATATAACTTTATCTGCGGGAGATTTTGCAGGACTCGACATTATATTAGTGTTATCACTCGTTGAATTCAAATATCAATATTTCCAGAACTTTGTCTTGAAATAAATAATCTATTATTCTTGTTCGGTCGGTAGCCGGGCGGTTCGACGTGGGTACTTTGTTCACTCAGTCAATCGACTCGCACATCGGCCGATTGATAGCTGGTTAACGGAAAAAAACATTTAAAACATATATTTTTTTAATAATTCCTTCAATTTGTATATTTCAGTACTTTCGAATTTATTATGATTGTTGTATTTAGGAAAAAAGAATCCTGTTGTTAAAATGACTGGTTTAAAAAAAATCTAGACATTCCTCTACTCATTAAATTTGACAATTTCATGGTGGTTTTCTCTTTCTCAGGTTGATTTCAAAGATTGCTGAATTTACGTTAGATTTTTAACACAACTAGATAATTTGTGATTGGTAATTATCTGAGAAGGTAAATATATCGACTTGATTCAGGTGAGAATTGGAGTGGACCAACCCAAATTTAGCAGGAAGGATTACATATAGATGCCTTTCGGAGTGACCAGTGCCCCTGCAGCACTGATTTATTCATAGGCGATAAATTTACCTTCTCGTTTGTTGAATTTTCCGAATTGTGTACCTGCGACAAACCTCAAGATATATGTATATTTGAAGATTTATATTTGGCGGGCCAAATATTGAGAGAAATGATAAAGAAAGAGTCTATAAGTATGTTACCAATCATGAAGCTTTATTTTAGGGGACAACAAATGGGCATGACATAATGTATATAGTCATAGCAGATTAGTCATCTATTTCACTTCTAACACTGTTACATCCTTCTCATTCTAGATCTTTATTATATATAATATGAAATATGCAGAGGTAAATGTGACTCAAATCATATATTGTTGTTATAGCATGTTGTTAATATTGTTAATGTTTGGACACATTTCACCGAAAACGTTTTAACTGAGCTGTGAAGCGATCGATTCTCAGAAACTGATGTGCACTATTTTTCTTCCGAATGTTTTGTCCCTCGAAAATTCAGAAGCAATGATCTGCAAGTTTACAGAAGTATCCGCGGGTTGTTAGTAGACGGAAATAATTTGAAGATTGCCTGTTCCCGTAATTTAAGTAACCACGCTCAGAAACGCTCATAAAAGTTTTGACTTTCCGTAAATTTCCGGATTCATTACTTCTGTGGTTGTTTTGTTGAAGTGTCGATTGTTGATAACGGCAAGTTGAAAAATTTAGGTGATGTATACACAATTCATAGTTTAATTGTCTAAATGTTTGTGATCGCCATATATTCATGAGAAATCTATATTGAAATATTACTTGTAATCACTAACGTATTTTATGGAAACAAGTCCTAAGAGAAAGTTATGATATTTAATGTTGAATATATTTCTATATTTAGGAATTATGTTTTACACATCAAAAAGGATCTGACTGCTTTTTCTGGGGTAGTTGAAATCGCGATGTCGATGAAAAGCAGATAGATCCCTCCACATTTCATGAATTGAAAAATACTGTTGCTGTGATAATCACATCTGTTAAGTCGTCCTGTCACATTTGATCCATGAATTACTTACGTTGGGTAAGGGTTTGGTTTTACCAAGAAAATTTCTCCTTGTAGATTTATTCGAGAAAAGTACATTCGTTGTGGTATACGTGTTTGAAATGAGCCTATTTCATTGAATTGTTTGTTGATGAAGATGATACTGAATCAGGTACGAAATAGCGGATAATAATAAACATAAAGGAAGTGCCCCACGTTGGGCGCCATAATGCGATGAGAAACCACATCGAAATCTCAAAAAAGCCGTAGGATATATTCGTCATATGATGGATTTCATTTTTCAATCTATGATGTACTCTAATTAATGAATACACTCTTTTTCGTTGATTTAATAACGGGTATTTCCCATTATTTCAACTTGAAATTATAAGATGAAGTTTATGATTTTGTTAAAGTTTGTAGCTTTGCCATGGATAAACATCAATTAAATTGAATAAACATAATGTTAACTGGTAATTCAAAATAAAATAAACTGCTGAAATTATTTGAAATGTGTCATTAGGCAAAATTTGAAGACTGAGAGTTATATGAATTTAATCATTATATACTAGGTATTTCTATTCAAAACATTGATTTTCATTGTTTCGAAAATTGTAAATTGGTAAATGGAAATCAGTTATGAGGGTTAATCTTTGATAATTAATTCGAAACATTTATCATGTTGAATATTGTAAGTTGAAATTTTTTTCTCAATTGTGAATAGTTTGATATTGTTGACAATTATCGTAGAGATGAGTATTGATTTCAAGGTGAATTCAATGATAATAAATAAATGGGTATTACTTCCCATATAAATATTTGTCAACTAATAAATAAATCCCTTAGTTTGTCTTCTTGATTCAGTGTCATAACTCATTCATTTTTATACAAAATTTTTGTTGCTTTCCAAACCATACATATGGTGAAAAAACTTGAAAAAAAAATTGAAACGCTTTTGACAATATGTTGTGTGTATAGAAATATCCACAACCAAAATTCTGAGGTATGATTCAATTTTTTATTCTAATTTGAAGATTGAACTTATATAGTATTTTTCAACCCAAACTGCATGAAATAAGAACATTATGATGAAAAAAATACTTCAATACAGCGTATTTCATCGTTTACTTTTCCTGGTGAAATGTAAGAATTGGAAAGCGATAAAGATATTGATATTGATCCCGTTTGAATATTTTTTGTTGCAAATATTTCATTTAGTTACGATATTATGTTGTTTCCATCTCCATTAAACACTTTTTATTTGGTTTCAAGAGAACATGGATATCACTTGTACAAAGAAGAAGAGTCGATGTTAAATAATTTTAAACTAATATAAAAGGCCTATATCTATACATTTTTGCCTGGTAATATATTTGATTGTTGAATGTTGGGCCAAACAAAGGCCATCTTTGTGGTTGTATCTGAGCGAAAAGAGATTTGATGATTCATCTATTGAATATTCAGATGAACGATCTCATATATAGGTTTGGACAAGCATTTTGGGAATATCATATTCTAGTACAAGCAAGAAAATTTAAGCTTTGAGAAATTCCTACCACTCCTTGAGAAGAGTTGTTTCTTCGTGAAATATCAAAATTGTTGTTTTAAATAATATGGACTGTATTTTTTGAACACTTTCTTTTTGATTAACTTTTGTTATATTTTTTCATCAGTTTTACTAGGAAATTAAGATACTGAAAGATGATTCCTCGACTAATTTTGCATGAAAGATGGTGCTTGTTCTTTTCAATTTTTTGTAAAAGGAGAATAATTTTTTCAAATATGATTTTCACAATTAAAGGTTTATGAAACATGTTATCTACAAATGTGTCGTAAGTAGTTCCCTCAACTAGAAACTACTTAAATAACTGTTTGTCGTGGAATGTCACTCCATGTAGAAAAATTGCAAAACGGAAACTTTGAACTTTGATATTAACATATCTATGGTAAAAAAAATCCAATGTTTGTCCAGTTCTATATATTAGAATCGAATATGAAAGTTACCAGTTTTTGCACATTTCGATTCACCTTCAGTTGATTTATTTTTCTTACTGGACTATTCAAATTCAATCCCTACCACATTAACTTGGACAACTCTCGAGAATCGAGAGTTTCGTTTTTTTCAATTTCCATGTGTTTTCTCATATAACAAAACGTTAAAAATTACAAAACAGGAAAATCATTGTTTTTAATGCCACCTGAGAATGTTTTCAATTTTAGTTGATGTATTAATGAACTTTCCCAAAAAACGTTTCTTTTCGAAAGTATCCAGAGTGGTAGTTTGATTTGAATCTTCCAGAATTTTAAAGTTTTAAACAGTTTCGCTTTTGGAACTATGTGGTGTATTTGTGTCAATTTGTTTTTCGTAAGTGGTTTATTTCAGACTTGCACACGTTTTAACATACCATATTTAGCAGAATGGAATCAGATTTCCTCGTGAGTTTTTTCGTTTAGTAGCGATTAAGTCTGAGAAAATTTTGAAACCTTTGTGGGGTAGTTATTTTTCTATTATTTAATCATCTTTATTTGAGAGTTGAAGGAGTAGACAGTTCGGTATATAATTGTTATAAACACATTAAATTTCAATAAATTCATAGTGCCATTTTACGTATTTATTCATGCTACCTCATTTTCATCACCCATTTCCATTTTCCATGCTCTTCAGTGGTTTTGAATGAAGATACCAAATGGTTGTACATACTTATGTTTACCACATTGGTAATATTCAGTGCTTTCCTTTCTGCTGTCATTTTGTTTTTTGGTATCTATGCATTTGAACTCACTAATCGCGTCACTCCACACAATAGGAAAAAATATTTGAATCCGAATTTAGTTTATAAATCTTTTCCTAAGGAAAAAGAAATTGTTACTTGTTAAGTTTTTGTATGGAATGAGAATTTTATTAAATTTTTATTTTCTTAAAAAAGAATAATGATTGAATCTCCCTAGATAAAGGTGTTTTATTTCTCTTGATTGTTTCCAAATTTCAGAACAAAAAATCTAGCAAAGAAATAAAACTAACATCCATCCCCCTTAAAAAAAATTATTCTCAAATAAGTGTCCTAATGAAACTGGGCCGAAAAGCAAAGAATTAATGGATATTTCTATAAATCTAAATATAAATTCTCAATAATAAATCAAAAATGTTTGTAGTCTGACTGCAACTGTTATATTTCAATCAATGTCAAATCAACAGTAAAAACGTTTACAGATCGCTATATAACATATATTTCCATTGTATAATTGTGGAATTGGCCGCGGTGGTAGTGCGCCCGACTCACGATCGGAAGACCGTGGGTTGGTTCGATTCCTGCCTCGACCAGATATTTTTCTCGAGAGAATTTATCTGGTTCAAGCTGGGATGATTCTGCAACCGTGTTAGGAATTACACGTTAAAAGGTAAGACCTCGTTAGTCCTTAGCTCGCAACTTCTGAGAATTGCGTTCGTATGGGGGCGACAGCTGATTAACGACAGCAGATTTTTAAACAGACAGATACAGATTTATATACAAAAAATTGAATCTTTATATGGATAGTCTATACAAAGATTGTATTATGCTAGTTGTGTAAATTGAAAAAGTTGTTCTTCATATTGATTATATCAATAACAACTTTTTGCATATATTGCATATATTTTTTCACTGTGTTGGGCATCATATACTTTTGGATTGTGTTATTTCAGAGAGAAATAAGAAATCTGTAAAAATATTATTGACTGTAGCTACTTTCAACAAGATGTAGCCGAAAACTGAATTTTGTTCCTTATTTCAAAAAGTTCTTAAGTATCCTAACATATCTAAGATTTAATTACGAAAATTAGAAAAGTGTTATAAAGAGATAAGGAAGAAGATTTTGCAGACACTAATAATCAAGTTAAACAAATTAAAGAACATATTAAAAAAAAGTCAAATAAGAAATTTTGACAACAAGAACAAGTAGATAGGGAACATATTTTTAATGAAAAAAACCATTTAAAATAAAGTACAAAATTTTGAAAATGGGCAAAAATAAAAGCAGTGCGCAACAATAAGGTCAATTTGTAGAAGAAATAGATATGACACAACACAAATTACTCATTTGAAAAACATCCAATATATCCACAACCTTTGAACAAAAACCCAAAGGAACGTCAAAAAAAATAGAATGCAAAAAAGAAGACGAATTAGCAGTCATGAAGAGAAAAGACAGTAAAATCCACAAAGTCCAGAATACATGCCCTGCGATATCCAATATGGAATAAAAAATAAATTATGCCACTTATATGCCTTAAAATTTTCATTTGAAGTTTTTTTATATTTTCCACTATTTTTGTATTAAGTTTATAAAAAAAGAAAGAGAAAAAAAATCACTTCAAAGGTGCTGCTTCTCGTTCCCTCCTGTTCATAAAAGAGGACATATGCCTTATCACTCACAAGCGATTTTGGTGAAATTGGGGATACGTGTGAATCGTATTCATACCACGTGCCACTATATGAGTGTGTGCAATATGCCGGTTGTAAGTGTGATTTGAAAGTGCATTTAGATTATAATGACAAGGAGCCACAATGTCTGCTGCATTGTAGGTAGGTACTTTGAATTACGCCTAGACTTTATTATTCCACTCATTTTTAAATATTAGTGTGATTTCTCGTTAATTTATTAGTGAACTTAAAATATAGCTAATAATATTTTTAAATACATGTTACTTGTAATTATATAATAACCGTAGTTACGAAACATCATCCGTGAGTTAATTATTAGTTCAAAAAGAATGCCCTGGTATTCACTAAAAATCGATTGGACAAAGCAGAGTACCTAGTAAGTGGATATTAGGCAAATAAAACTTCTCACATGTACAGGTCAAAAGGGCACGCGTATGCATATATCTATCAAATGCAAAAAACGCGAAAAAGTCGTTTGATGCTGAATTTGAAAAGAAACCAGTTTTGCATGGTGGTTGAAACCCGTATAGTTTGCATAACGTCAAACTGTCAACATTTGCAAATTTGAAGTCCACCGACGTTGCCAATTCCGAAAATTTGCTTTAGAATTGCCAATTTCAGGTGTGTAGTTGATTTCGACTATTATCTAGGTATATGAAAATACTTTGGTTTGAAATGTTAATAATACTCTGAGAATTCGATTATTACTGTTCAGATTTAATATCATTATCTACATATAATACTTTCATTTTGAATATAGATCCAAAACAAAGTGATGGGGATTTGAAGGTACTTATTAAACAATTCTCATCATTTTAATACAAATAAAACTGAACTTATTGAAAAAAATCAAAATATTATATTCATCTCGAAATAAAGCTTGAGTAAATCAAAGTACTCAAATAATTTACTTTGATGTTTATACTGATGATAAATACACTGATACACTTAAAATAATGTCTGCCTTTAATAAATCACTGCCCAAAATGTCCTGAATTGAAACAAGAAGTAGCACAATTTTCATTGGATTCACACATTCTTAGTCGAATGAAATATTCAATGTGCTAATTTCGCTATGAATATACCTTCAACAAATGGTCAATCGTTTACTAGAATCATTAGAAATTCTGAATCGTCTTCTATATGACACTGTCAGCAGCCTTGCAATTGATCGCCTTTAGGAGCCTCCTTTATAATTGATATTGTGTATAGAGTTTCCAGTCGATCCCATAAATATATTATACATTGATGAATAATTAACTTTTTTATTAACTGATTATTGACTGTCTTCCTTGTTTCAATGTGTCATGTTTTACTATTATATACATTTATAAATACGTGGTGAGTTTAATTAGTACCTAATATATATCTACTAAATGTTTAATTTGTGAGAAAATATATAAAATTTTCAAGAAATAATCAAACCTTCATCAGAAATAATTATCTTTCAATATATTTACTTGTCTTTGAATGGTCGAACCAAAATTCATGGCTGTATTTTTTGTGCTTAGATTTTGAATACACACACGTCTACTACACACACACACGTTTACTGTTTTTCACAACTTCAAACAATGGCAACAGTGTACATTTTTCTGCTCTACTCCCAAGACGGAACTCGCGCAATCGTCAGTTCAATGAAGTCAGGAGGGGAATGTAGAAGTATTATTGAATATTTGAGGTTATTTTAAATGAAATGAGATTTTTGAAATCAGCTCATTGATAAGTTGTTGTATTTTGTGAATGCACCATATATGGTTGTAAGTCAACAAACATGACGTCCTTACTGGGAAAGGTGAGATGATACAATACTCTTATTAACTAAGTTTTCTTCAATTATGTCCATTTATTTAAGCAGTACCTATCATGATGGTGTTGTATTTCCATTAGGATATCAAAAATATTTTCATTTGAATAAAATCATTTTTTTCCCAAATAGGCATCTCAATTACATACATATCATGAAAATGAAGAATAAAAAAATAAACAATTCCAAACTACTGAAGCAAATTTTGAAGCTATTGGTTATTATATAATTATTAGAATACACTTACTGATTTCATGCTCAAACCTTTATCTTCCTTCATAAAGATACTTTACACTGCTCTAATATTCAGTCAAAATATAATTTACTTTCTCAAGGAAGCAGGGTTTCTGCTTGACACGTTTTAATTGGTATCCTTCATTTATCTTGTTTTCATCATGAAACAGGTTTCAACTTATTAGAATAAATAATTCATTTGAATAAGGAATCCAGTTGTAAATATAAATGAATGCCAAGGTAAAAATGTACCGCGTGGGGGGAATAAATTCTGTAATGTGATATACTCAGTTCATTTATTTTAATCAAAAGTATAATCCGTGAAACAAATAATAATAGATGTAAAGAATAGAAAGTATACAGAAAATTATATTCTTCCCAAATAATGCATAATTTTGATTGTAATCGGCTATGAATAAACAATATAATCAATGGAAGCTCTGATACTATCAGCTTATTAATTATAAACCAAAACTAAGCAAATATGGTGTGAGAAAATAATGAAAAAAAATCAATTTCTTGAGAGGTAATACACAACAGCTATTGTTTTCTGAAAGAAGAGGATAATTCATTCCAGAAAACATAGTTTCAAAACCCTCAATGACATTAATCACGAAAAATTATGCCACTAAATCAAAACAAAAGTATAACTTATGTTATGGTCGGATGTCTCAAATTTCCACAACAAAAACCAACATGTATGTGTATGTGTTAGTCAGATCTTCAACTTAATTTCAGTCATAATATACTTACATTTCTTGAACAATTGTTTCGATTGTATTGAAGTTGTTAACAACTTCCTATGAATAACTCAGTTTTTGTTATGAATACAATAACATTTAATGAAATCAACATTCATTCTTTTGATTTTCAGCCAATTCTGTACTCTTACTGGAGGAGTTCTTGTTCATGGAGAGTTCGAATAGGTAAGTTACATGTACAATTTTTTGAAAGAAATAATCGATGAAAAACTGCGTTTTCTTTCATTTTCAATGTTTCATCGAGTACTCAATGAAACATTAAAAATGAGACTTTCAGATTAATATTATTTTTTATCATGTTATATACCAGGGGTCGTCAAGTAGTTTTAGGTGGGGTCCGGTAACTGTGGGAAAATTTTGACGAAGTCCAGAAAAAACAAT